TACTAATAAATGTTACTGTTATAATTACAACAGATAATGATTTCAGTTTATGTTTGAATGTGTTATGAATGGATTATGTGTGTGATGAATGACAAGCATGTAATGTTCATTTTGTGTGGAATAAACTAATACCGATCATTATAGTCATAAAATTGTATAAGTGTGTTTTAAAGGAAGCGAAATATTAATATATACTACATTTATTATTTTTAATGTTCACAATTTCAGTCTGGTTTACTGCAACTGAATAATCTTACTACCTTCTGTTTATCTACTTAATAAAATGATCATTTCCTTCAGTCCAGTCTATATTTGCTTCTTCCATAATATTTTAAAAACGATGATGATATAACTATCCTATTTCTCAGTTTACGAATCTACTAGATATAAAATATTATTTGTAATATATTCAAATATTGTATTTTTACTATGTTAATGGAATAAAGTTGTCTTTAAGATTTTCCTGTGTCTGTTTTTGTATTTTGGCAAAAGGAAAATCAAATTTATCTTTGAAATAGTTATTTTACAATAACCGTCCAGTGCTTCCAGGTTTTCCATGGTGGTCTGGCTTCAACTGACTCATGATTTCAACAAGTGAAACCTTGATTCAGTCAGATTTTCCTTTCTTGAAATATTCAACAATCAATATGTTACTTTTTAAATACACTGAGTACTACATAAAGCGTTATGTTCATTTAAGGGAATCTAGATTAAAGCAAATGATTTTCTTTATTTGTTTAGGTGAATAATAAGGATTTAAGGTAGTTTTGTTCATAAATTGACATCAGTTTAAATGGTATGACCATTATAATCAAATAAATCAATAGTGAATCATTTAATCATTTATGATTATGATTCAGTTTTCTGAATAGGCACTAAGCGGTATTGTTAACCATTGGATTCTGACTAAATGACTGAAGTATTTTGTGTCAACCAGGAGACCTTCAGGTTTAGATCTCAATGGCATGGTAATTTCTGGTTCTGTGTTATAACGAACAGTAACCTCGAAATGCACAAAGTCATATGAAACTATCTATGTAAACAACGTGTGAGCAAAAGTGAACGAATAGCTGAAAAAAAGCATACAAATCCCAATGACCTAATAAGTAGATAATTTAAACACTCATTCTGTTCTGTTACCAGATATTGTTTAAACTAGTTATGGAACTTACTCCAACTTACTCATTGTAGCTTTGTATAGAGGTGGTCTACGAAGAATGTTTAGATTTGTTGAAGCTCAAAAGCAGAGAAAATTTAAACTTCTCTTCCGTGCTCACTAATAATTTATGCGCACATTATAACTACCACGATATTATTGATTTTAGTTTAACAACCAGAGTGGTGTAATTTATTCCTTATTATCCATTTTCTTAGTTCGACCAATTGTTTCTCATTTAAAAGTCTTAGCATACTAATACATAATCACTGAAGTTATTCTAAATTTCTCATTGAAAACTATATCAACAATCATAGCCATCAATCAGATCCTCTAGTTAACGATGTCTTATGAGTCATAAGATCCATATTTACAAGTTATGCCATACATTAAGTTCCATTTTCTGTAAATGTTCAAGGGATGAAACACTTTCTTTGTGAACTATCCCGTTTCAATGATCTGTAGAAATTTACTACTTTTACTATGTTAATCTTGTTGAAATGATTTTTTTGTGAGCTAAATCAAACCGTCCTTGATTTTTTACCATGATTTAAAAAGGACCAGTAAACTGTATTGAAGAATTTTAAGTTGTAATTATTGAAAATGTTAGTTCATTTTATTCACAGTAATATGTTGGTTTTTCATTATTTGTTTTTGAGTTGGCATGGTGATAAACTTTGATTATAACCAGAAACCTTGTTATTATTGAAATGAGATTTTTGATTGTTCATATTTCTAGTTTGTAACTAGAAATATAATGAATTGTGTTCACGCATATCACACAGTTATGATAAGTTATTCTCATCTCATTAAACTAACTAAAATATATTCATAATATAACAGCACTTGATGTGGTCCAAATAGAACAGGTTCGATGTCCATCAATTTATATTGTAGAATACATATAGAGATAATCCTGTTTATTATTAAGCATACTAGTCATTATGAATCTACAAAATTTCTTGTTTTCTATTGTTCGATAATCTTATATATGTATAATTCATTTTTGTATTATTTGCCCGTATTTTCCCATTGTTATTTAGAACTGCAATCAATCAGTTTCTTATTAGCATATGTGCATACTGTACGGATTGCTTCGCTATTGCCTTAAGTCACAAGTATTATAACCAGAGATGGATGGTGGCTAGCAGTGGAAACCAAGACGTGCGTTTCATCCAACTCGGGACTCTTCAGCTGGATGTACCTGCATCCCAGAGTTGATATTCACTTCGGGATTGTATTGCTTACTTACATACGCCTGTTACTCGTCGTGGAGGAGCATATGCCTCCCAAAAGCACTCTCCATTCAACTCTGTCCTCAATAATCCTTTCCAGTTTCTATTCATCCTTTCCATATCTGCTTCCAATCCGCGGCGAATTGTTTTCTTTGAACTTCCACTTTTCCGTTCCTCTTCAGGATTACAAGTTGGTGATTGCCTCTTGATGCAGTCTGATGACTTCCTCAATGAAAGGCCCATCCACTTTCAACGAATTTTCCTAATTGCCTCTTCAGATGAAAGCTGGATCGTCCTCTCCTACAATAGGCTGTTGTTGACAATATCTGGTCAACGGACATTGAGTATCTTGCGTAGAAAATTGTTTATAAATACTTGTACCATTTTTATGATGGTAGTCGTAGTTCCCGAAGTTTCAGCTCCGTATAGTAGAACCGTTTTGACGTTTGTATTGAAGATTGTGACTTTGATGTCGGTTGACAGTTGTCCGGGGTTGTATAGGTATATTTAAATGTTGTATTTGCATTTCAGAGAGTCATGTAGCTTGACATTTTTTAAGAATACATTTGATTTTAAGTTTATCAATTTATTATTGGATAAACTTAAACAAATAAACAAAATAAATAGATAAATTTTCGGAAGAAACAACCTATACATTTTGTCCTGAATTTAGAGATATAAGAAATCAGAATAAAGTAGGAAAGTGTACATATATAGTCGTAAATTCCTATAAGTTCATCTACTTACTGTTATACGATATAACCATTTTTCAATAGTATAATTCTGTATTTAAGCTTGTTTGCTTAACTGAATTTGGCAGTTAGAATTTTATTCCTAGACAAAAATCTAGATATAAAAGCGAGAAAAGACTTAGAAGCCAAATGATCATGTTTGGAAATAAAGCATATGTAACAACAAAAGAATTGTACAAGGAAGAGTATGAAACAATAACATATTTTATTTAGTATCAGAAGGGGTTTTTGGTGGATATTATAGTAATTTTAATAGTTGAGATCATGAGTCAATTGAAGTTAGACCATCATGAAAAACCTGGAAGCACTGAACGGCCGTTTCGTCCTGGGTCCGTGGATGAGTACTGCCGTGGAGTCCCACAGTAGGACGAAACGGCCGTTTGGTGCTTCCAGGTCATCAATGGTGGTCTAGCTTCAATTGACTCATAATTCGAACTATTAATATTTGTAATAATTTACAACACTGCACAATATCTTATCATGATTATTCTTTGTTCATTTTATACTTGTGAAGCTTCATCCAATCTGAATAGAAAATATCATATCGATTTTTCTGGAGAAAAATTTGTGATATAATGAATATTTTACACTTTATATTTGCAACAGATTTAAATAAATTAGGTCAAGCATATGTTTGGTAATATTTAAAAGACATTAGATTTTTTAACAATGTGTTAACATGTTTATTCTAAATAAACTAAATTGATAGTGTTGTTTTTTAGTTACGTAGCTTTAATATATCTGGGCCATGGGTAGAAGTGAGAGAATCGCATCCCGAACATGCTCTAAGCAACAATGCAAGCATGTTCGGGATGCGATTCTCTCCCTCGAAATGCAAAATGTTGCTTCAGGATTGGGTTACATCCACACCCGAACTAGTGATAGGGAGTGAAGTAGTTGAGTGTGTCCACCGCTTCACTTATCTTGGAAGTCTCATCAGCCCTTGTGGTTTAGTGTGTGACGAAATCTCAGCACGGATACAGAAGGCCCGACTAGCTTTTGCCAACTTGCATCATTTATGGCGTAGGCGAGAAATCCGTCTATCAACCAAAGGACGTGTTTACTGCGCAGCAGTTCGTTCCGTCCTACTTTATGGCAGTGAAACATGGCTGGTAAGAGTAGAGGATATCCGTAGGTTACTAGTATTTGATCATAGGTGTCTTCGAAATATTGCTCGTATATCATGGGACCATCGAGTAAGTAACACAGTTGTTAGGAAACGGGCACTAGGTAAGGATGGCAAATCAGTTGATGAAGTAGTGAAACTACATCAGTTGAGATGGCTGGGACACGTGTTACGTATGCCCAACGACCGACTGCCTCGACGTGCTATGTTCAGTGGTATAGGAGTAGGTTGGAAGAAAGCTAGGGGCGGCCAAACCAAAACATGGCACAAGTCCATGAAGTCACTGACAAGTGAACTGAGCCATATTGGTAGGTGTAGATTACCTGGTTGGGGACCACGAGATGATAGCAACCGATGGTTAGAGACCCTGAATGACATGGCTCAAAATCGTTTGCAATGGCGCAGGTGCATCCACTTTTTGTGTTCTCCCAAATTCTAATCTTCTGAATTCTTCATGTCCCTTTTTTCCTCTTTCCAAATTTATTTCACTGGATTATACTCTTTAAATAACATCTCCAAACCCTAATCTTCCCGATTACTGCTTATACTCTTATTACCTCTACCACTACGGGATTTGAATCGACAACTGCATTTCTGTGCTAATGTGGTGTGGCAACTCGAACTGATGTACGTACGTACGAAGTTCTACGTTGTTACTGACTGACTGACTGACTAGAAGTGAGTTACAGGATGTGCTTATCGTCTAAAATACGGTGATGATACATTTAAATATGCTTTTCTCCCCTACTACTACTACTACTACTACTACTACTACTACTACTACTACTACTACTACTACTACTACTACTACTACTACTACTACTACTACTACTACTACTACTACTACTACTACTACTACTACTACTACTACTACTACTACTACTACTACTACTACTACTACTACTACTACTACTACTACTACTACTACTACTACTACTACTACTACTACTACTACTACTACTACTACTACTACTACTACTACTACTACTACTACTACTACTACTACTACTACTACTACTACTACTACTACTACTACTACTACTACTACTACTACTACTACTACTACTACTACTACTACTACTACTACTACTACTACTACTACTACTACTACTACTACTACTACTACTACTACTACTACTACTACTACTACTACTACTACTACTACTACTACTACTACTACTACTACTACTACTACTACTACTACTACTACTACTACTACTACTACTACTACTACTACTACTACTACTACTACTACTACTACTACTACTACTACTACTACTACTACTACTACTACTACTACTACTACTACTACTACTACTACTACTACTACTACTACTACTACTACTACTACTACTACTACTACTACTACTACTACTACTACTACTACTACTACTACTACTACTACTACTACTACTACTACTACTACTACTACTACTACTACTACTACTACTACTACTACTACTACTACTACTACTACTACTACTACTACTACTACTACTACTACTACTACTACTACTACTACTACTACTACTACTACTACTACTACTACTACTACTACTACTACTACTACTACTACTACTACTACTACTACTACTACTACTACTACTACTACTACTACTACTACTACTACTACTACTACTACTACTACTACTACTACTACTACTACTACTACTACTACTACTACTACTACTACTACTACTACTACTACTACTACTACTACTACTACTACTACTACTACTACTACTACTACTACTACTACTACTACTACTACTACTACTACTACTACTACTACTACTACTACTACCATTAATGTGGTGTATGCTACTTGTGTCTGCCGATATAAGTAGCATATAACACCAATCGGAAGTGGAAAACTTGGTAGCAGAAGGCTGTGAAGTTTGACTCGGAGAAAACAGAGACGGAATTAGAAAGAATTATACAGAATGTGAAAGACAAATGATGAAAACTTGCTAATGAAGTAATTAATGTATAGTTTTCATATTTTGCCAAGACACTGTAATTTCCCATTGAAATACATTTGAATTGTTCGAATCAATACAAAGAAATGTTAAATTTCATTAAGATCAAGAACCGATCTAGTTCAACAATCTACACAACTCCCAAAATGACAAAGAAATGTAGTCAATATGTAATGTATACTATAAGATTTTCTGTCACTAAAAAAAGAATTTTACTGTTTCAACTTATTTGTTCTCTTTCCTCTAAAATTCCCCTGTCTATATAATCGAAGTAGCTTTTTGTAAGATTGCAAAGAAACTATATTACAATCTGTTGATTGTTCTCAAGTCTTCATTTAATAAGCAGTATTGTGAAAAAAAGCTACCAACATCAAAGTTACTCCTTTTTATGGCTATACTGTGTTAAAGTGTAAAATGAAGCAATATTCATCTAGATTATTTGAATAAATATAAAGTTAAATGAAGTGATAAAACAGAAGTATAGTTTAATAACAGTATAAAATGAGCCTTAGCTAAGACTTTATACACATCTTATATATTTGAGTCGGGATCTTAACATCATTATGAAAATAATTAATGCTGTATAATTGATTTCCGACTAATTATACCGGTATACATTTTTATTATTGTTACAACTTTTTATTAAATGGTACTCAACTTGTAATAAACTCTAATATGAACGATGAATAAAAAGTAGAAATATTGATCACTGGTTTATTATTCGTACATAAATAAAGTAGGTATGCATGTATTTACAATGAGTTAACGTAGCCGGTTGTGGCTATATAATGCCTGTATATCATACATCCAAAGTAAGAAAAATTACAATCCAAGGAAGTTGTAATTTGTAGGTGTTGTGTAAAGAATGACTATGTACTGTAAAGGTTTTTATTTATCGGTATATATTTTTTCAAAATTTTTGAAAAAATTCCGGCAGATAAACAATATATGAACTAATTTCTTGTTACGCATAAACGGAAGTGCTCTACCTACCTACCATACTTATGCTACAACTATACGTACATCTGCTCCCTCACAACTCTATCTATCTATCTATCTATCTATCTATCTATCTATCTATCTATCTATCTATCTATCTATCTATCTATCTATCTATCTATCTATCTATCTATCTATCTATCTATCTATCTATCTATCTATCTATCTATCTATCTATCTATCTATCTATCTATCTATCTATCTATCTATCTATCTATCTATCTATCTATCTATCTATCTATCTATCTATCTATCTATCTATCTATCTATCTATCTATCTATCTATCTATCTATCTATCTATCTATCTATCTATCTATCTATCTATCTATCTATCTATCTATCTATCTATCTATCTATCTATCTATCTATCTATCTATCTATCTATCTATCTATCTATCTATCTATCTATCTATCTATCTATCTATCTATCTATCTATCTATCTATCTATCTATCTATCTATCTATCTATCTATCTATCTATCTATCTATCTATCTATCTATCTATCTATCTATCTATCTATCTATCTATCTATCTATCTATCTATCTATCTATCTATCTATCTATCTATCTATCTATCTATCTATCTATCTATCTATCTATCTATCTATCTATCTATCTATCTATCTATCTATCTATCTATCTATCTATCTATCTATCTATCTATCTATCTATCTATCTATCTATCTATCTATCTATCTATCTATCTATCTATCTATCTATCTATCTATCTATCTATCTATCTATCTATCTATCTATCTATCTATCTATCTATCTATCTATCTATCTATCTATCTATCTATCTATCTATCTATCTATCTATCTATCTATCTATCTATCTATCTATGTTCATATATGCCATAATTTCCAGGGACTCCAAACATTTTTTTATAATATAGCATCACTTTGTGAAATTAATCATTTAGCTTAGGCTAATCGTACTTTATAAGTACGTTATCAGAAATCACCCTACATTTCAACACTTCTACTTCTAAGTAGATGATGTAGAATTACTAAACTTAATATTCTCTTTTCCAGTGTCCGAAGAGAAATATTGGGAAGCAAATAATCGCATGATATTAATATAATTCTGTATACAAGACTACTTATATCAAACTTCCACTACAACATGAATGAATTAAAGTCATATTAAATGTTTCGAAAAATGAAGCTTAGCTTGATAAAAGTAATTGATGATGAAGTTTGTTTGTATGCTAATGACATTTTAACTGTCCATATTTACATCTATTGAATATTTAACTCCTAAATAATAGGGCGGTCAAGGTTAATACGATATTAAAATAAGTACATGTACCGAAATGTAACTAGTTCACAAGTGTTAGGAAATACAGGAAAATTCCCCAATCGAATCTAACATATAGAATAATAGAAATATGTATATAGGGTTTAAAATCGATAAAAATAGGAGTGAATGCGATCCTCATAATAGGAGTTTTATGGGGAAAAATAAATACTCATTGACGTTGAATGAATCCAGGAAATGTTTAACACTATTAGGGTACTCACTTAATAATAAGTATTGGTCATTGTTAGCATTATCAAATCTACTTGAGGAATAAAATGGAGAATTATCGCTACACATAACATTGTAAGGTTACTTTACGTACTAAAAACAATGATACAATCGTCAACGTTATGAAAAATGGATATCTTAAGTAAATATGTTTACTGTCATAGTTTGCGACTAGCTAACGAAGTAAGATTCTCGCATAATGTCTTTAAAGGTACTTATTATCTTATGAAAAGATATTCTATTCGGTAACGTAAATCAAAGAACTTGAATGACTTCTGAACTTAACTGTACGAGCTCCACTTAATATTTATCTTTTGAGATGTGGCTCACTAGTTTTAACTACTAATTTTCGGCTATTCGGCTACAAATTTAAATTATGTTCTATCAGTTAACTAAGAGCATACATAGTTATCAGTGAGTACTGAACCTTAGACAAAAGAAGTGGAATCAACTGGCATTGATTATATCGTTTGCAGTTTGTCTATTTTAATGGTAGGCTATCAAAATATAAGGCTATACGGCAAGAAGTTAAACCTGATACTTAGATCCTAATCCAATGAAGAATGCTCGGTGTAAGAAATTAGTTTTGTCCATTTTTTATGATATTTATCGTTGTTGCTTTTATGTTAATATTTTGTGTATGGGCATATTACTTTATTAGATAAAAATATTTTGTCTTGCTAGCAGTCATCACCCAGTCACGCTGTTATGTTGAATACCATCTGTTGGACAGCATTCTCTCCATCCAGTTAAATAATCATGAACTTTGTTCACCTATGAAATCTTGCTCCAAGATGACATCTTTGTGTTTGGATTAAGGTACTTTCATTTTATTAAGGACGCTATACTGATCCATGACTAGCTTTATAGTTTATCTTTTTATAAAATTTATGTTTTTATTATGATAGTCACCAGATTAGTGATTGTATTGTAGGGTTTGGAATGCTGTTTTATCAGGGTAGTGTTTCCAGCTAAGCAAATACCGTGTGATAAATAGCTACCTGCAGCTAATTTTGCATATGGAATCTAATATTTATGAATACGCTTTCGGTACATTTTTATTCTAAGATTATGGGACTTTTCTCAAAAGTTAATGATTACAAAGCGAGACTGAGACTTATGGAAATTACTTTAGAGCTCTATAAGTTTATTCGTTTATATCTCATTTGAAAGATAAAATAAGTAACTTTTCTTCGTTGATGGAATGGCCTTTTGTTTAGTGTTTGAATTATGGAAAGACAATATAATACTAACATATATAACCTGCTATAACTGGAGTAAATAGTTAATAATTAATCTTTTAGTTTAAATCACTTGCTCAAATACTTTAGAAAGTCTCATGAATCTGTACTCAACTACCATGTAAAAACTTAACAATAACTCAAATTTTCCATAATCATTATTAAATGATAACAAAAACTGTTCACATTACTATTAATACCAAATTCTTGTATTGTTGTTATTATTGACCTGAAAACTACATTTGGCCAGTGAACATCAACATTGAGGTTTAACAACATCCAAATGACGAGTCTCAACTAAATGAAACTCACATTCTGGATCAAAAAGTCAACCAGTATCTAAAATAAGCCTGAAATATTTTATAGATACACTCTACTACATATTACTTCTTTTCAACAAAACAGTGTCTCTATGACACACTTAACGATAATTATTCAATAATTTACCATTTGAAAAGTTTTGGATCAAAGTAAATTCGATGCCAATATTGATTAGCTCACTGCATAGTGACAGAAAATAATACTCTGGAAAACAGTACGCAGCAAAACATCATTAAGAATAGAATAGGAATTCTAAAGCAATTATTTTTTCTTTGCTAGATTTTACTGAAGTATTAAGATGTCATCTACGTGTGACTGTATTGATCTTCCTGTATATATTGTACATGTACTTTTTTAGAAACCTTTGTGACCTTGACAGTGCTACTTTATAAATCTCTCCCAAACTAGTATAAGATTAAGTTAAAATGCTTTTAAATGTCTTTTTTTATGTGCAATAAATAAGAGATTAGGCAATATCACATCTTACAAATGCTTTCGTTTGACGTATTTTTATGGGAAAAGCTATATAAGTAGTCTAAACATGGAATCAGACATTTAGATATATTTTTTTGAAAATAAGGAATTCGTTCACTAGGATTTAATATGAATCCTTCCTTGTTAAATGAAATCAATCAAACAGATGGCTAAGTAAGTCATACAGTCCCTAAGAAAACTGGTTTATACTGATTTTGTGGATATGCACGTATTTTATGTACTTAGTAAAACTATATTTTGAATAGTAGCTAGCAGCAGAAGTGCATTTTGTTATGTATG